TCCGATAGACCCTCGGCTAAAGATGGTGAAAGAAGCCCTAATAGTAAGTAATAGCAAGACAAATAATTAGAAAACTAAATCAAAGATAGCAATAGAGAATATGAAAGAGGTACCGATAACAAGTAATAACAAGACAATATATTTAGAAAATTAAGTCCAAGGCAGCAAACGAGTTGAAAAAACAGTTGAAAAAATAATTTAAAAAAAAGGAGGTTTTTGGGGGGGGGGGGTGTTGAATCCTAAGCTAAAAAGGCAAGACATAATTAAATAAAAAATCTAGGCATACAGTTAATATTTAAGCTAAAAAGGAAAATTATTTAAGGAAGGTGAGGGAGTTTGGATTCGAACCTAGGACATCCCACACGGAAGCAAAGGTAAGTAGCACATTCGACCAATGCCCCCAGTAGGCTTTTGTGCTTCAGGGTGCGTAATTAAATATAAAGTCATTTCTCAAGGTATATATACATATAATACATATATATACAAAAATTTTCCCGAGGTTTACGGGGTCCCGTGACCCCTCTACCATTCACGTAGGCCCGCCTCTGATCTGTAGAGTCAAGTTGCATTAGGTCACTTTGAATTACACTTCCTCCTACAATTTCTTTATCCAATGTAGTTATACCCAATGGATACATCGTGAATTCCTCCTCTGATCAGATATGACTATTGTTTAGTGGCTATTAACTTTTTATATCTACCATATACATAATTACTTTCTGTAGCTACCTTTAAGTTGTTATGGTAATATATTCGGTGTATTCGAGCTACTGTATTCATGAATACAGTAGCAAAAATCGGCTAAAAACAGGGCAGTCCAGCTGTCAGCCATTGTATTCATACCATGTATTCATGATTACAACGTAATAATAGGTCTCTTCAGTTGTTTAATAACGGAAAGCTGCTAATTTAACGGGATACACTCCTAATATAACTCACCTAAATCAATTATAACACACAACATTATCAATCCAATTATTGAGAAGATTTATCAGACACTAAACACCAAAAAACAGAGCATTCTTCAGAGTTTCAGTTTTTTTTTCTGATACAATTCAAGTTTTTTTTTCCTGACATTGTTAGAGGTTCTGCTCGAAATTAATACAAGTATCTATAGAAATACTTTGAAATTCGATTTGTCTATATATGAATACATCATGTATTTATGCCGGATACAACCTGTAATAGTAACCTACTGCCTGCATATTTCATAATAAACCTAGTGCTTGTATTTTGTTGTATCTAACAGTTGTGTTCAATGTATTCAAGTTTATTTTTATATTCATAATATTTTATTTATTCCTAATACATGGTATTACTGCTTTATTGAGTATATTTCATTGGTTGTATTCATTGATTTTCTATTTGTATTGAGAGTATTTTACTGTATTTCATTGTATTGTTGTTTTAAATATAGATGCATACAGTTAGGTTGAAAATACATATGAATACAGTTAGATTGAATGCATAACTAATTAATGAATAACATCAAAATGATAGAACTAACAATATATTTAAAAATATTGTTGTATGAACTCAAATACATATAAATACAACAGTCGAAAATCACTGTACAAAATAGAAATCAGTGTATGCCTTATTGAATACATATAAATACATCTAAATACAAGAAGAGAGACCCAATGTACAACTAAAAATCAATGTATGCGGACCTGAATACATATAAATACATCTACAATTAGGGTCATTGCGTATTTTTGTTCTCCTTTCGGCTTCAATGGTTGCTGATGAACATACAAATACAATTCCATTATTATATGTGAATGGTTTAACCCGTTTCCCCAAACCTAATACTAATCTCATTAGCCGTTGCCACCCTCTCTTCGGTCCTTTCCTCTTGATGTGTCGCTATAATTCATGGTTTAGCACACTATTCGCCTTGCATTTTATATGCTTTAATGATAAATTATACTTTATTTGCTCGTAATGAACGCCATATAATGTGTGTAGGTGAATTGGATATGAAAGTAGAGAAAAATGGATACTTAAAAGTCGAAAGCGTGTTCGGGAGCAGTTGAAAGGAGAAGCCGGCGAATCCAGGTACACCAGGCGTTATACATGGCAAAGTCAGGCCTAGAGCAGGCCTTATACCTGGCGACGCCAGGCTAAGCCAGGTGATAGACCTGGCGAGGCGAGCTAAAAGCGAGATAGACCAAGCTTTATACCTGGAAATGCCAGGCCTGGGGCGAGGTCCACCAGGCGTTAGGCCTCGCGAGGCTAGGTTTGGGTGCGCACAGTTCGAGTTTTGAAGACTTATTTCGTCTTCGGGTTTGACTAGGACTTTGCCTACACATTTAGGTCTTTTCCTACACATATAAATAGACCTAAAAACACCACTTTGGGGGACTTTTGCAATCGGAGGCAAGAATAGCTTGTAGAATCACCCGTTGGGAGTTAGAATCATCGATTTCTACATCCTTTCATCTTTACTCTATACTTTAATTATGCAAATTATTTGGGATATTGTTACTATGAGTATGAGTAGCTACAATTCCTGATCTAGGGTTTTGATGGAACCTATTGCAGGATAATTTTCTTGTTACGTTAATATAAATTTGCCGTAGTATTTTCTCTATTTGTTCAACTATATTATTCATGTGGTTGATTGAAGGGCCCTCAATTAGCTGTGCCAATTTAGTATGTATTATTCGGGAGAGAGTGCATATTTAGGTAGTTGTTGAACAACATCACTCCTAACGTATATAAGGGATCAATACAAAGGTTTTAAAGGTGGGATTAGGTATAACAAAACCTTGGTGCGATCTGAATGAGCCTTACTTAATGCCAGCTAGCGTAATTTGAGAGAATATGTCTAGCAAATTGTGGTAACTAGTCGGGAGAGAGCTACGACAGTTATAGTGCTCATGATCGATAGAGAAGACTTAGGCGAATTTATAGAAAACATAGCGGAAAAGATTCCGATAATAGGGGAAATCACAATCTTAGATCTTTTCAATTCTTGTTTACAAACCGTTCGTAGTTAGTCATTTGTTAGTGCATTTTCATCACGTAAAATTTAGTTAATAAACATCCAAATTATTATTCAAATATTTCTGAAGATTAATTGCGTGAATTTGTGTGGGTCTAGCAACTGTGGTTGATAGGTTAATTTCCTGTGGGATTTGACTCCGGACTTATTAGCCGAAATATATTTGCGATGACCGCTTGTCCTTTTTAAAAGGCATAGTTGGGCGTGATCAAATTTTGGCACCGTTGCCGGGGAAGTTAACGGTGTTATTAATTGCAGCTAAAAGAAGTATTAGAATTCTTAGTGTAGTCAATTCTCTTCATTATAAATCAAATACATTGAAATTCTAACGTTTGTAGTCTTGGGTGTTACAGGTGCATGCCTAGGAACTCCTCAAGAACTGGTGAACTGCTCGAAGCGTTATCAGATCCTGAGAAAATTTTCAAGGCACTAAATCGTGCAAACAAGAAAAGCAAATAGCAACAAAACTTGACAGAACAAATCGAACCAGACATAGATGATGGAATAGAAAATCCAATCAACAACAGAAACAATACGGATGAACCAAACAATCAGGGTGTGGTGCCTCTTGTACCAGAAGCAGTACTATATGATTGGCACAATCCACCGCTGACAATCTGGCAACCGCAATTGCAGTCCCTTAAATATAAGCAGAATCATTTCAAATCACAAACAACATGCTACATTTGTTACAGAACAAGGGACTGTTCTCAGGGTCACATATTGAAGATCCTCAGCAGCATCTGAAGAATTTCCTGTCGATATGTGTCACGCAAAGGCAACCTAACATGACACCGGATGCCATAAAGCTGTTATTGTTTCCATTCTCGGTGATAGGAGAAGCTCAAAATTGGCTTAATTCACCTCCCATAAACTCAATCACTACCTGGGAGGAATTAGTCAAGCAATTTTTGAACAAATTCTACCCACCCAATAAAACTGCCCAACAGATTGATGATATATTGAGCTACAGGCAGAGACCAACATAATCACTACAAGAAATATGGGAAATGTTCAAGGGTATGCTGGTTAAGTGTCCACATCATGACATTCCAGATCAGATGTTGGGGCAGAGATTCTACATGGGACTAGCTGACGGCTTAAAGGCCAATGTTGATGCTTCAGCATATGGAGCATGTTTGAGTAAAACATTCGGAGAATGCAAGATCCTACTTGATAAGATGGCCCAAAACTCAGGATGGATGACAAGAGCCTCTATGATCACTCCGGTAGTTCACGCACTGGCGTTGGACCCAAACAACTCCATAGTTGAGAATATGGCCACTCTAATGACACAAATGAGTATCCTCACGAAGATTGATAAATCAGGCCAAAAGCAATAGGTTCACATAGTTGATGCAACTAATGGGAGGGTGACAACCTTATGTTTAACCATATGTTTAACCATATGACGCAACAGGTTCACATATGTACACCATGCATTAATCAACCATATGTTTGCTCGTGGAGTGCGGAAGGTGACAACCAGCACTATCAGAAAGATATGAATTATGTAGCCAACTATGGGGGACAGAGGCAAGGTGGTTAGAATTGGGGTCAACAGAATCAACAGTATAGACCAGCTCAGCAGCAGTACAATAACAACAACAATCATGGAGCTATGCGACCACTGGGTCAAGTTGTGCCTTTCCAAAGGCAACAGGGTTACAACCCGCAAAATCAGCAGCTGATTTATCAACAACCTCAACAACAACAACTGATTATAAGACAGGATGATGGTTTTACTGAACTTAAGGGAATGCTGCAACAACTGATTGGGTCCACGGGAAAAATGCAACAGAGAGTAGACTCACATGAATCAGCGATAAAGGGTATTGAGATTCAATTAGGACAGATTTATATGGCTCTAAACAATCATCCCCAAGGGACGTTACCTGCAGACACACAAGTCAATCCAAAAGAACAGGGCCCGATATAACTTATGGCAGTGAGTCTACAAAATGGTAGAGACCTAGATTTGTAGCAAGAGATGGCTCACGAAAGTCGACCTACTAAAACACTTGTGCCAGTACCCATTGAGATAGATGATTCAACAAGGTTGATAGAGGTGAATGTACAACATGCACAAGAGAGCACAAGCAAAGAAAAAGAGGTTGAGAAGGAGACTAAGGTAGCACAAGAAACGTCAGTAGAAGCAGTGCCTGAGTAGGTTCAAAATCAAATCACAGGAAAGAAAAGGCCTCCAGCACCTTTCCCTCATAGATTTGCCAAATATCAAAACAATGAGCAGTATAAGAAATTCTTGGAGATGTTGAAACAAATTCAGGTTAACATTCCATTGATTGACGCCTTAAAGAAAATGCATGGGTATGCAAAAATGATGAAGGACTTGATGTCTCGTAAGTTTGACTTTCAAGACTTGGCCACAGTTATACTGACTCAGACATGTAGTGTTGTTGTGACGAGACCCATAGCTGAGAAGTTATCTGATCCAGGGAGTTTCACAATCCCATGCACAATTGGCAACTATGCGTTTGCTAAGGCACTTTGTGATTTGGGGGAAATCATAAACTTGATGCCCTTAGCTATCTATAAAAGGTTAGGCATTGGAAGAGCTAGACCCACATCCATGTTACTATACTTGGCCGATAGGACAGTGAAGAGTCCATCTGGTATCCTTGATGATGTATTAGTACAGGTTGGGAAGTTTGTGTTTCCAGCAGATTTTGTCATTCTAGACTGCCGAGTTGACGGGGAGATTCCCATAATTTTGGGAATACCATTCTTGGCCACTGGGAGAGCTTTAATCAACTGTGAGATCGGAGAGCTCAAAATGAGACTAAATGATGAAGAAATAACATTCAACGTGCAGAAATCTATGCGGCAACCAAGTGAATTTGCTAACTGCTCTCTAATAGAAGCCGTGGATGTAGTTTTAGAGGAGGAAGATGAAACCTTGAACGCTAAAGACCCTCTAGCAGCTTGTATCATGAACTTAGATAAAGTAAATGGAGAGGATTTGGCGGAATGGGTACTGGCTCTTGAAGGACAAGGGTTTTGGAAAAGAGAGCTCGAATTTGAGCCTTTGCACTTAGAAGAAAGAAAAATTCCTCCAGCTAAGCCATCGATAGAAAAGCCACCAAAGTTGGAGCTAAAGCCGCTACCACCTTACCTCAGGTATGCTTTCTTGGGACCTAGCTCAACTTTACCTATTATTATCTCATCTGGTTTGTTAGATGTGCAGAAACAACAACTTTTGTAGGTATTGAGTGAGTGCAAAACTGCAATTGGTTGGACCATCGCAGACATTAAGGGTATCATCCCGGCCTTCTGTATGCATAATATTCTACTGGAAGATGGCCACAAACCTTTCAGAGAACATCAAAGAAGGCTGAACCCCAACATGAAGGAAGTTGTGAAAAAGGAGGTGATAAAGTGGTTAGATACGAGAATCATTTTCCCCATCTCTGACAGTAACTGGATCAGCCCAGTCCAATGTATGCCTAAGAAAGGTGGGATGACTGTAGTGCAAAACGAGAACAATGAGTTGATATCAACAAGAACAGTCATGGGATGGCGAATTTGTATGGACTACAGAAGATTGAACAAAGCCACCCGGAAAGACCATTTTCCCTTGTCGTTCATTGATCAAATGCTAGATAGATTGGCAGGGAAGTCCCACTTTTGCTTTCTAGATGGATACTCGGGATATAGTCAAATCTCCATTGCCCCGGAAGATAGAGAGAAAACATCATTCACTTGTCCATATGGCGTCTACGCCTTTTGGAGGATGTCGTTCGGTCTATGCAATGCACCCGCCACATTTCAAAGGTGCATGATGGACATCTTCACTGATATGGTTGAGGACATAATGGAGGTCTTTATGGATAATTTCTTGGTGGTGGGAGACTCATTCGATGATTGCCTAAGGAATTTGAAAAGAGTACTGAAAAGATGTGTCGAGACGAATCTGGTACTCAACTGGGAAAAGTGCCATTTCATGGTACAAGAAGGTATAGTCTTGGGGCACCTAGTGTCGAGTAAGGGCATTGAGATAGATCGTGCCAAAGTTGATGTGATCAAAAAGCTTCCACCACCCACGTCCGTCAAAGCAATAAGAAGTTTCATGGGCCGCGCCGGCTTCTATTGAAGATTTATAAAAGATTTTTCCAAAATTGTTAACCCATTGTGTAAATTGCTTGAAAAAGATCACCCTTTTGTATTTTTTGATGATTGTAGGGTAGCTTTTGAGAAATTGAAGAAGAGGCTGGTGACAACACCCATCATAGTTGCACCTGACTGGGAGCAATCGTTTGAGCCGATGTGTGACGCAAGCGACTATGCTGTGGGAGCAGTGCTTGGACAGCGCAAAGACAAAGTCATGAATCCAATATATTATGCTAGTAGAACTTTGAGTGGTACCCAACTAAATTACACGGTGACCGAGAAGGAGATGCTAGCAGTGGTGTTCGCATTTGACAAATTCAGGTCATACATGATAGGCTCTAAGTTAATTATTTATACTGACCATGCTGCTCTCAGGTACTTAATTGATAAGAAGGATTCAAAGCTGTGCCTGATTCGATGGGTGCTACTACTTCTAGAATTTGACTTGGAAATCCGTGACCGAAAAGGAACGGAGAACCAAGTGGATGATCACTTGTCCGGGCTGGAAGGAGCCGAGAAAAAGGTTGAAGTGGAAGAAATTGCGGAGACCTTCCCAGATGAACAACTACTAGCCATGAGTCTTGAGGTAGCGCCATGGTATGCAGACATTGCAAACTGCCTGGCAAGCGGTATTGTCCCCTATGACCTTTCTTATGTTCAAAAGAAAAAGTTCTTTCGCGAATGTCGCATGTATTATTGGGATGAACCTTATCTGTTCAGGATTTGTGTTGATAAAATGATCCGGAGGTGTATCCCCGAGATAGAATAATCTTCTATTTTGTAAGCGTGTCACGCGTCACCATATGGTGGCCATTTCGGGGGAGTAAGAACAGTTGCAAAAGTTCTGGAGTTGGGCTTCTACTGGCCGACATTGTTCAAAGATGCACACTTATGGGTGAAAGGTTGTAATGAATGCCAACGAACCGGGAATATTTCCCGCCAACATGAGATGCCTATGAACCTAATTTAGGAGGTAAAAGTGTTTGATGTATGGGGAATCAATTTCATGGGCCCTTTCGTCAGCTCATATGGCAACAAGTACATACTCGTAGATGTGGACTACGTGTGCAAATTGGTGGAAGCTGCAACGCTCCCTACAAATGATGCAAAGGGGGTAATTGGCTTTTTGAGAAAGAATATATTCACCCGATTTGGCACTCCAAGGGAAATAATCAGTGACGGAGGCACTCACTTCTGTAATCGAGCCTTCGCAAAGTTGTTAGAAAAGTATGGTGTACGCCACAAGGTCGCCATCCCATACCATCCACAAATGAGTGGGCAAGCAGAAGTTTTGAACAGAGAGATAAAGAGTGTTTTAACAAAGATTGGGAATGCTACAAGAACGGATTGGGCGAGAAAACTAGATGATACACTCTGGGCCTACCGTACCACTTTCAAAACTCCAATTGGCATGTCGCCATATAAATTAGTATTTGGGAAGGCGTGTCCATGACGTACTCTGCTATAGCATGGACTGTGTCACTAAAGGAATTAGGAAAAAGTGAGAGAGAAGTTAGTTATGGTCCAAAAAGTGAAAAAATATCAGATAATGTGTTTATGTTTCTGAGTGCATTAGGAAATGTAGCATTTGCATATGCTGGACATAATGTAGTTCTTGAAATTCAAGCTACAATTCCTTCAACAGAAGATGCACCTTCAAAAAAAGCAATGTGGAAAGGTGTATTCACAGCTTATATTATAGTGGCCTTGTGTTATTTGCCAGTGGCTTTCATTGGATATTGGGTGTTTGGTAATGGAGTTGATGATAACATCTTGCTCACACTACATAGACCTACATGGCTTATTGCAACTGCTAACATATTTGTTGTCGCTCATGTCATTGGGAGTTATCAGGTATCTTTCGCTATTTTTAATTACAGTCAGACCTCTCTATAACATCATCACAATATAACAACCATTCACCGTAAAAGCCAAGTTTTTACGGAACCAATTTTTATACTATGTTATAATATATTTTCTCTATAACAACACTTCGTTATAACAACCAAAATAATCTGAAACAAATGAGGTTGTTATAGAGAGGTTTTAATCAAATAGTATCGGTCTATTGCCACAACTTTTAGACCTAGGACTGTGGTTTTTTTAAGTCTTTACGTCTTAAACTAACAGTTACTCTACATAATTTTCAAATGGTGTCGATTTTCATATATACTAGCTAGAAAAGTTCGTTGCAAAATAACCCGTGTCAGATACACCCCATACTAATGGATGTCTCTGCCATTGTCTACAGTAATAACAAGTAACTACTCAATACAAATAAAATATGTTAACCTAAAAAAAGAGTACATAACTTGTTTTAATAGACTAAAATAGTTAGTATAATAAAAATTTTACATTGTCAATGCATATATATAAATTTAATCCTTTATATGTAATTGAGGAAACCTACTTCAATTGTATAGACTCTTTAAGTCTTTGATGTGCCTCAATTGATAATATATTATGAGCAACTTAGATGTTAGTAATTTACCTAATTAATCTGTTGTATATTACTTAATTTACATTTCAGGTTTATGCAATGCCAGTGTTTGATATGATAGAGGCATACGCTGTGAAGTCATTGAAATATAATCCTTCCACTCTTCTACGTGTTTGTGTGCGTACGGTTTTTGTTGGTAAGTTATTTACTTGTTTATTAGAAAATATTTTTGCACAATTAGAAAATAAACTGAAAAAGTTGTTTAATTGCTCTTTTCTATGTATTTTTTTTATTCTTGCTATGGTCTTCTGTTATTGTAGCATTTACATTGGTTGTGGGCATGACAATACCATTCTTTGGTGGTTTGATGGGATTCTTTGGAGGTTTTGCTCTGGCACCAACCTCATATTATGTAAGTATATTTCATAGATAACTCATTAAATTTTTACTTCATTAAATCAGAAGTTATGACTATATAATACTCATATGACAAATATATTTAACATTTACTATGTTTTTAATTTCTACCTACAGCTTCCATGCATCATCTGGCTTATTATAAAAAAGCCCAGACGGTTTGGCTTGTCATGGTGTACGAACTGGGTAAGTTTACTAGAACTTGTAAATGTAATCATGAAATTTACTTACACTCGGTGTTTAAAATGAGAGTGCATATAACTTCACCATAGTTAAGTTAAAAATATATTTATGAAATACAAATATCTTATATATTTATTGATTTGATATAAATAGCGATGTCTATACAAATTATTTAGGGGAAAATATTTTATACACTCGATGATATGCATCAAAGCAATAAGTACATAACAAGTGTCTTTTGCATAAGATATAGCATCTTATCATTGTTAATAAATGTAGATTCTCACATCAATATATAAATTAATTGTGATATATTAATATAATTTTGTACATGCAATGTTTCGTGCAAGCTTTTTCCCTACTTACCCCTATCTCTTATTTTTTTTCTCTTTATGTTGCAGCTTTGCATTATAGTGGGTGTACTTTTGACTCTAACATCTCCCATTGGTGGATTATGGAGTATCATCAAATCAGCCAAGACTTATCGCTTCTACACCTGATCGATACGGCCAATCTGAGTTTTAAGATGTTAAATTATGTGCTATATCCTGTCTGTTTATTGTAAGGCAGAGATGCAGAATTTTAGGATAATTCTTTTAGTTTCAGAAGAGCTTTTATATATGGAAGTTTGCTAAAGTTTGAATTGTAATTTTT